GCTTCCAGGAAATGTTCACAATTCATTTACAACTTGAATTTATCAAATTCAGCCCCCCCGTTATGCGTGGTGGCTACGCGTGGCTCCGTGAAATTTTTCGGCTGCAGTTTGGGTAATTCGGGAACTGAGAAAGCTGGGAACCTGGGATTTCAAGTAAATGTTCCCTATCCAACCATAGCGTGGATAATTAAGTTCCCGAAATTCGAGGACCAGTATGTACAAGAGGTTTTTAGCTAGCGGAATTTCCAGTAATCTTATTACAGCACGAAACACTGCAAAAACGCATGATTGCGCGGGCCCCCCCAGTGCGCGTCGCCAATGATTATATAAGTTTTGCAAGCTGATAGTGTTATCGTTGTCGTGGTTTTAATTCAAATCGGTAAGGTCTAGCGCTGTAGCGACGATAGCCACAACTGTCTGTTCCGGCGACAGCAACAATCTTTTCGTTCTTGGCTGCTCTGAAAGTGCTTCCAGCCGCAGCGCTTCTGGATTGCCATGTTTTGATTAGTGTTTTCGCTCAAAATGCTTTACTTCGCCTCTGCTCCTTTTGTTCTCTTGAAAATTTCAGTGTCAAAACATAACGCGAAAGTACACAGCTTGTTTTGGGCATAAATCTCAACCTAATTGGTTGGACGGCTTTGGCATAAAAGAGCGAAATGGGTAGGAAAAGAATATATAGCACAACAATATTGCATAAGATGGATACCACAAGCTAGCCTGGCTGACTAAAAATGAGGGAACTACAAGAAAATACAGATGAGTTGACGGGTAGGGCATCGAGAAAAACAGAGTATTTTTGATTTGGCCAGAAAAATCATTGGTAAGTTACAGCGAGTCGTCATTTTTGTGCGTTTTATCTTAGACCATACTGTGCCTCCTACTGTATGTTTCAAGTGCTCATTTTGTTTTGCCTGGAGAACTGTTTTTTATCCATTTTTTCTATGTGTTATATTGTTCGGCGCACAAAAGTTGCTTTCAGTATAAAAAAATTAGTTCATTTCATTGGTCTGAAAAGTCTTTGTAAACTACTGCGTTTGAAGCAGAGACGCACAAGTGGGAAACTCAGCAGGCGGTAACATAAGAATTGATCCTTACTGTGAAGGTGACAGTGGCAGTGTCGAGTATACAAGAGACTGGCCATTCATTTACTTCTCTCTCACTGGTTTCGAAAAGGAGCCCTGGAGTTGCACGGGAGTACCCGCAAGGGAATAAAAATATATTTGGGAGCGCCCGCTGTAGAGTTAAGCTTAAATAAAGAGAGCACATCTAGCGAAATCAGGTTTCATGTGACATTACTTAAGGTCATCCTTCGGAATATGTGTGGCAATATCTGTAGCGGTATGAAAATTGCATAAATGCACAGACGAAGTCTTGGACTGAAAACAGCTTTGCATTCTTTCTTTTTTTTCATGCATTCATTTGTCTCAACTTGTTCCAAAGCCTCAAAAACCTAAGAAATTGCATGGGTTTATTTTAGGCCTTACGTTGTGTACGGTACACTTCCATCTTGGCCATTAATTTTATATGGATGACCTTAAGCTGTATACTAGGAATACAAGGGATCTGGGTCGCCAAATTGCGGCTGTGACGAGGGTAGCGGCGGCCAGGTATGAACGTCTTTTCTTGCACTAAGCTAGTTATGATCGTCTTTTTAGGAAGTTGGCGCGGCACTTCTATGGTGTTCATAAAACCAAGCATACAGCTTGAGGTCATCCATATAAAACTGATAGCCAAGATGGAAGTGTACAGTACATAATGTGAAGCCTAAAATAAAGCCCATGCAATTTCTTGGGTTTTTTGAGGCTTTGGAACAAGGTGATACAAATGAAGGCGTGAAAAAGCCCAGGCTGGAATGCACCAGGTGGACCGGTGCGATTATGCGTTTTTGCACATTTCGTGCCGTAGCAAGATCGCAAGGAATCACAGTAGCTATCCCTGTGACATACTGGCCTTCGAAGTTCGGGGAGTTAATTGGGCAACTATGTGGTATATCAGTTGTGGATGTCGACTTCAGTAATCCGACAAATGGAAAGTTGCTGGTCCACAAAGAAGGCCACACTAGAAGAGTTAAATTTAAAATCTTTCAGTTGCACATGAGTAGGGAGTATTCCTCTAAAACTAAAGCCTTCAGCTTTTACGTTCCCGAGTTGACAGTTTTCCCACCAAAAATTCCACGTGTCCGTACATGAGTACCGAATGGTTTTAACGAGTTGAATTTAAAATCTTTTGGTCACACATGAGTAGGAAACATTACCATAAAGTTTCAGCTTTCCAGTTTTTTATGTGTTTTCCCCTATATGCAAATTGCAAAAACGCATATTGGGACGACCCTGTCTGTGTGTGTGTATGTATGTATGCGTGTGTATGTTTGTGTGTGTGTGCGTGTGTGTGTATGTGTGTG